TTTTTTCTCATTTTGTCTCTCATAGTTGAGGTATACCTATGATGAAAATTACAGGCCTCTCTCATCTTTTTAAGTGGGAGAACTTGCACAATTGGTGGCTGACTAAATACTTATTTGCCCCACTGTATATGAATATTTGTTTGTCTAATACTAACATCTCCAGCGAGCTGCTGGAACACTCTGCGGAACTGCTTCTCTTCTTCAGACTCATTGGCCTCAGCATAAGCCAGCGGTCTGCGGGGTGGGGGCTGGGGAGGGATGGCAATAATATCAGCATCTCAAATGCACATCATTTTCTCTCCACATATAAAAAATCCACTGACTTTATAAGCACAACCCTAATGCAAATATTCTTAATGTTGCAAGAACTCTCGATCACTCATATTTTGACTAAGCAATCCAGTGACTCTCTAGCTGACATAATGGACCACTGTGCTTTACTCTACAGCATCTTTAAGATACAGATATTACTTCACCCCAGATTTATATTCAGTTTGGTATACATTATCAATGTATAAAATTGTAGATATATAAAATCAACTTACAGACACAATATTAAGCATTTAGCTATTTCTTTAATGTGTGACCCTGGACCACAAAACCAGTCTTAAGTCGCTGGGGTATATTTTCAGCAATAGCCAAAAAAACATTGTATGGGACAAAATTATCCATTTTTCCTTTAAAGGGGTCATATGATGCAATTTCAAGTTTTCCTTTCTCTTTGGAGTGTTACAAGCGGATTGTGCATAGATAAGATCCCTGAAGTTGCAAAGACTAAAGTCTCAAAACCAAAGAGATATTCTTTATAAAAGTTAAGACTCTGCCACGCCCCCCTAAAACGGCTCGTTCTAACACGCCCCCACATATCTACCTCACTATGTGGAAATATTTGCATAATGCGGCCCAAATGTGCACACAAAGAAAGAAGGCGTGGTTTCAGTAACTGCAGTTAGTGTTGAAGCAGCCATGTCAGGGAGACGCTGTGTGTTTCTAGGCGAAAGCAAAAGCACTTTATTTGGCCTTCCGCAAGTAGATGCATTTAGGAATCTTTAAGATTACTTACATACAGTATTTGAAAAATAATGTGTTTTTTTAACATTAAAGCATGTCAACATATTCTGTTACACCAAATACACAAAATAATGATCTTTAAAAAAGCATCATATGACCACTTTAAGACAAAAATCATTAGGATATTAAGTAAAGATCATGTTCCATGAAGATATTTTGTAAATTTATTACCGTAAATATATCAAAACTTAATTTTTGATTAGTTGCATGCATTGCTAAGAACTTCATTTGGACAACTTTAAAGGCGATTTTCTCAGTATTTAGATTTTTTTGCACCCTCAGATTCCAGATGTTCAAATAGTTGTATCTCAGCCAAATATTGTCCTATCCTAACAAACCATACATCAATGGAAAGCTTATTTATTCAGCATGTATAAATCTCAATTTCAAAAAATTTACTTATGACTGGTTTTGTGGTCCAGGGTCACATATGATTACAAAGTGATCATAAATGAATTCTCTCAATTTGTCTATTGCCCTATTATCGGTATATCAACAAACAATTTCATTGTTTAATCATTATTTCTATATCAGTAATAGGTCAACTTGTATATCTAATAATAATATGTACTTAATATAACATGTATTTTCAATTATTTAGCTAAATTTTTTATAAAAAAAAATATTATTTTTAATTGATTATATTAATTCATTATATATTTACATGCTGATAATTGATAGTTTGATTGATTTTTCAATTAATTTATCAATTGTTTTTAAATAAATAAATCCCAAATGATTACTGAGTGGCAACTATGGACCCATATATTTCTTTCCATTAATTATTCACTTTTCAAAGAATTCAAAGAAATAAAGGGATTCTGCAGCAATAATACAGATTTATATTACATTTATATTGAGTGTAGACATTGGCTCTTTTTTTAAACGGGTCAGCGATGACTGACAACAAGCACCAGACACACTTATGTATAACACTACACTGAGAGCTCCTGTTACTCACAGGATCTGAAGGCACAAACTGGCCAGGGTCAATATTGCTGTGGAAACAAGATAAGAAGGCATAGTTATGCTTTTATATCAATTTCACATACACAAGAAGTCACAGCTGTATAAGTACACTCTGGTTCAGTATTAACATCTCATGAATAAACACATATAACACCACTACAGCTAGTGGTCAACCGATATATATAAGGCCGATATATCGGCTGATATTTGGCATTTTTCAAATATCGGCATTGTCCGATATGTTTGTCTGTTTGGCCGATATGTTCGAGACTTTTATTCTGAGAATGGCAGCACCTGAGCTCACAGCGCTCACATTTCCCTTTTCATTGTTTGCTGTCATCGTTTAACAGTTCTGTCTAATATGGATAGAAGTCTTGTCCACACTATGCTGCACATTATTTGCCCATTTTCATATTCAAATTATTTTCACTGTGTGCTGTATGTAAAATGAGTGTTACCTTGGCTTTACTTGAAAAATAAAGAAGATTCCCAATGCACACAAACTTCCCAGAATACAACAAGTGCCTTGTTGGTTAGGGTTTACTTCCTTTTTATTTATATATTTTTAAATATTTCTTTATTTGTGAAAAAAAACTGTAATAGGATTACAGAATCAAGTTGCTATCTAAAGTATACGTTTATTTTACACATTTTTTTAATTTTCAAATGATTTCAAATTTATATTTATAAAAATATTATATATAGCAGTACCTACACTCTGATGCTAACTTAACTTATACTTAAATTCTCAGAAAATAAATAGCTATGACAGAATAGCTAATAGCTCTGAGATGAATTGCAGCTGTACAACCTTTGATTTGAAGCAATAAAAATCAGGAATTAAAAAATCAGGATAAAGGCAAAGTTACAAAACTGTGTCCAAATATATTTTAAGAAGGAATGAACTACAATCCCACAAAGTACTCATATGAATTAAAATAGCAGTATAATATAAACTGGCTTATGTACTGATGAAGAAAGAGAAAGAGTCTGTAGTGAAATATTGCCTCACCTGACCACATCAATAATGCCTCCAATAAGTTTCTTGGCTAGAAACATCTTGTGGCACAAATGGTTCAGTCACTACCTAAAAGGAAAAAGAGATAGAATTGTTATACAACACACATGCACATACAGTGGTAATCAAAATTAGACCTACAGTACCTACAATTTTCTAAATTTCAAGGTCACTGCTATGATCTATTTGAGGTTTTCCTAACAGGAGCAGAATGGCCTTTTTTTAGCATATTTTGAAGTACAGTATAAAAACCTAAATAAGATATTTAAATAAAGAACTCTGATAAAAATTAGAGAACACTTACAGATACCTCCAAGTTATTGGTGTTAATCTGGTACCTGGTGCAAATTTCCTTAATTATATGACAAACCCTATTTAACTGGCAGCATTCCTCTAATTTTTTACTGAGTTTGCAAAATTGCGGGCTGCTCTAAGGTGACTGAAACCCTGTGACAGGAGGCTATCCAGATGAAGGCCAAAGGGATGACCCTTTCAGTCATTGCAAGAGAAGCTAGTCATTCCAAATCTGTGATTTTTGAAATATTACAACTTTACAGTTGACTAATTAATTCAAGTCTCCCAAAAAGGCTGGTCGTCCACGTAAGACAAATGCATGAGAAGACAGGATCATGCAGAGGCAATCGGTTCAACACTGCAGCTGGAATTGCTTGCATGCTGAACGATGAACAGGGTAAGGATCTGTTTAAGAGAAGTCAGACTAAAAGTGCACTCTGCAGTGACAAAACCACTCATCAGCAGAAAGAATCAAAAGGCTAAGCTCACCTTGGCTGAGGAGCATGTTGTGTGGATAAAGGAGAACTGGTCCAAGGTTCACTTTAGTGATGAGAGCAGGTTTAATTTATTTGGGTCAGATGGGATTATATACATTATATTTGGCGTCAAAGAAGTCAGTGAAAGGTGGAGGAGGAAGTGTCATGCTTTGGGGAATGTTTTCTCATACAGCTACAGTGGGGCAAAAAAGTATTTAGTCAGCCACCAATTGTGCAAGTTCTCCCACTTAAAAAGATGAGAGAGGCCTGTAATTTTCATCATAGGTATACCTCAACTATGAGAGACAAAATGAGAAAAAAAATCCAGAAAATCACATTGTAGGATTTTTAAAGAATTAATTGGTAAATTCCTCGGTAAAATAAGTATTTGGTCACCTACAAACAAGCAAGATTTCTGGCTCTCACAGACCTGTAACTTCTTCTTTAAGAGGCTCCTCTGTCCTCCACTCGTTACCTGTATTAATGGCATCTGTTTGAACTTGTTATCAGTATAAAAGACACCTGTCCACAACCTCAAACAGTCACACTCCAAACTCCACCATGGCCAAGAACAAAGAGCTGTCAAAGGACACCAGAAACAAAATTGTAGACCTGCACCAGGCTGGGAAGACTAAATCTGCAATAGGTAAGCAGCTTGGTGTGAAGAAATCAACTGTGGGAGCAATTATTAGAAAATGGACATAGTTGAGGTATACCTATGATGAAAATTACAGGCCTCTCTCATCTTTTTAAGTGGGAGAACTTGCACAATTGGTGGCTGACTAAATACTTTTTTTCCCCACTGTACATGGCAGAGTGAATGCAAATATTTATCAGAACCTCCTGCGGCAACATGCAGTTCCTTTCCTGCAAGCATCTCCCAATCAGCCTGCAATTTTCATGCAAGACAATGCTCCGTTACACTACAAAATTGGTAAAGCAGTTCCTTGAAGCTAAGAATATTGATAATGAAATGGCGGGCCCAGAGTCCTGATCTAAGCCCAGTTAAAAATCTCTGGCAACAAAGTTATGGCTAAGAAACCCATTACAGCTACCAAACTATGAAACAGAGTGGAAGAAGAGTGGATCAAGATCTCACCAGCACAGTGTGGGAAACTAGTGATGTCCTGCGGCCGGCTGAAGTTATTCAAAGCAAGAGACTCTACACTTCCTACTAATTTTTTACAGCTTTAACTCTCCAAAATTTTAGTTGTAATCTTCTTTCGTGCTACAGAGGTTACCGTTCTCTCATTTTAACCACAAAATAAAGGTTTTTGTTGAAATGTCTTGGTTATTTTGTAAAACATGTAAGAAGAACAGTGGTATACCAACAGCTAATATTCCTTTAAATTTTGAGTAATGAAGATTAACAATATTTCAGAGAAAATCAAGGATTTATGGATTGTTCTCAAATTTTGATCTATATATATATATAATATATATATATATATATATATACACACATACATATATATATATATATATATATATATATATATATATATATATATATATATATATATATATATATATATATATATATATATATATATATATATATATATATGTGTGTGTGTGTGTGTGTATATATATATATATAGAGAGAGAGAGAGAGAGAGAGAGAGATTATTATCACTAACTGTGCCAAACCAACCTTAAATCAATGAATACACATATTATTAATGAAAACACAATCAATATTAAAATGTCACGTTTGTTTAAAGGTTTAATACAAAAATGTGAGCACACTGGGGGTTGCGAATGTCAATCATCTCAGTGTTGACTCAATGCGGACACACCTAAGTTACAACAAATATGAACCCAACCACCCACACTAATTAAACCGCAAGAAAGAAAAAAACTCGTACAGTTTCAAAGCGAAGCACGTCTAAACTGGCATTAAAATAACGTTAGAAACACAATCAATATTAAAATGTCACGTTTGTTTAAAGGTTTAATACAAAAATGTGAGCACACTGGGGGTTGCGAATGTCAATCATCTCAGTGTTGACTCAATGCGGACACACCTAAATTACAACAAATATGAACCCAACCACCCACACTAATTAAACCGCAAGAAAGAAAAAAACTCGTACAGTTTCAAAGCGAAGCACGTCTAAACTGGCATTAAAATAACGTTACTCTTAGATAACCGTTTGCAGCAGATTGAGAGTGTATGAGTAACTCGGGCGTTTTCAACTTTTCAGATCGCTTTAATGCGGCGTAAAGTTAATTATCTTGCTATCAGTCTTGTCAACAGAAATAACCGCATTTGTTAGTCCTCTTACAAAATGGTTGGCATTTAAGTAATAATCTGAGCGATCAATCATGAACGTATTATTAGATGCTCAACTAAAACATGCTAACACGCTAAACCAGCTAACTTAAATTATCCGTCATGACTCCGCATTAAACAAGGAAATATCGTTCGTAACATGAATTTACCGGACAATATATTTGCTACTACACGTGTAAAGATAGTTTATCTCGCTGTTAAGGGCGTAGAAAGATTAAACTCACCAGTTAGCACCGGAAGGTAATGTAAACTGTCGTCTGTCACACGGCAGTGCAGTGCGCATTGACAGGAGACGCGGATTCCAAAATAAGTTATAAATAAGCAAACGGCGTAAAGACAGAGTGAAACCACCAACCCCCATAAGAACGATACGCAAACTGCGTAGAAAAAGACCTGCCCATATTTCCAAGAATTTTAGGAGGGGAAGACGAATTCTAGGTTGCACGTCAGACTGGTACAGGATTATACAGATGTGTAAAAAAAATACAACAGTCCATAATTACAGCAATTTATTTATGTTGCAATACACCCATTTATTATCTTTTCGCTAAAAATGGTCAATGCAGATCTGTTTGTACAAGATTAGACAACCCTGTAGACCTTTCGGCTTAGAGAGGACAAATATTTCAAAGGCTGTCACATACATGCCAACCAGTAAGGTATCTATAGTAAGATATCCTTACAGACACTAATGCTCTGCATGTACAATAATATATTGTAGACATTTTGTGTATTGCATTTTCACACTTTGCTTTGAGGGTGTAAACATGTATAACCTGTTTGTCTGGTTCAAAGTTCAGGCAAGTCTCTGAATGTGTTACTTCTTGCCAAGCAACAAATTGGCACGGATGACTTTGGGAACGTTGCGAATGGTAAGAGAGACTCTGGTGCTACGGGGCAGCATGTCCCCCACCTGAGCCCCTGTTGATGAGAGATTCACCACATGCTCTGACAAAATATCCTCACAAACTCCCTGAATACCGTGCAGATAAAGCTTGTACATGTCATCCTGGAGAATCAGCAGACTTCTTCGTTGTACGAACAGTGATAGCATGTAGCGTCTTTCTTCTGTTTGAGGAATTTCAGACTGCAGGGAGAGGAGGAGAACTTTAAGAGACGGGTGCGCTTGTGTTTGATAGTTTGATTGTTTACCTGAGTTTGTCTGCTGCTACCTGAGTCTGACAAACAGGCTTGTAGAAATCCAGAAGTGTATGAGAACCCAGACTGATAGTTGTTACTGTGGGGTGATACTGTGGTCCATCCTCATGAGGCTGAGAAAGGGGGAACGAAGGCTAAAATGAAAATATTGTGCGTTTTAAAAAATTATAACTACAGGAATTTAAAAGGTAATGCACTCTCTTTACCATAATTCCCTCCCCAGGCTTGTATTCATTTACAAGCACATGATTAGCTGTCTTTCCAGCAAAAGCTCCAACAGCCGATATTTTCTCTGTGTACTTTAGAAGCCAATCAGGGAGTTTCTCAGCAAGCATTCCTTTGGGATTTGGCAATCCACCTGGGAAAATAAATAAATAAATAAATAAACTTTTTTTTAATTTTTTTTTTATAAATATCCCCTTCAGCTCAGCTACCTACACTGAACTCTTGTTAAAGTGAGAAGTAGTGAATCTATGTCAAGAATTAAAGAGCTACAAGTACACAGCTTCTAACAAATAATTTGTGAAGAAATATTTCCAGTAGACATGAACAGGCAAACATTTTTGATTCCATCAAACACAAAAAGATAAAGTATATCAGACAGTAGGGATTAACCCTATAAAGCATACTGTATCATATCTGATAGATTACCAACATGATCAAACCTTTGCTGAAGAAGTAAAATGCCCTTTAGTATAATTCTAAAAATGTCCACATTCAGGTTGTGGTACATGTCTTTTTGCTGAGAAATGATATTTGATCATTTTTATAAAGTAAACATAAGCATAACTTTTATATTGTTTGTAATATTCCAAAATTAACATTTATAAGTCATCTTATTAAGACATATTACGGTTTTTCCTCAGTTTGAGCCTCTGAATATACTTTTTTTGAAGTTACTGTATGGGCCATAAAAGCCTGACACATCAAATATGATACAAAACATTAAAGGGATTGTTCACCCAAAAATTTAAAGTCGGTCATTAATTACTCACCCTCATGACGCAAGACCTTCATTCATCTTCGGAACACAAATTAAGAATTTTTTGATGAAATCCAAGAGCTTACTGACCCTGCATAGACAGCAACACAAGTACCACATTCAAGGCCCAGAAAGGTAGTAGGGACACAACACATGTTTACTAGAGTACCACGATACATGTGTGTGGTGCTGCTGACACAGGAACCGTCGTTCTGACATAGAACGCCAATGCGCTGCGCCTTATTTGCAAGCAGATGCATGCACACGCATGTGTTGTGGTACTCTTGTGAACGTGCATCAAACACTGACACGCAAGAGAAGAAATTGTTGAATAAAGTCATTATTTTTGTTTGTTTTTTTACATTTAGTCATTTAGCACTTTTATCCAAAGCGACTTACAAATGAGCAATCAGAAATCAAAATCAACAAAAGAGCAATGATATGCAAGTGCTATAACAAGTCTCTGTTAGCTTAACACAGTACACGTAGCAAGTTTTTTTTAAATTATATAATAAATAAAAGAAAACAGATAGAATAGAAAAAGAATAGAGCAAGCTAGTGTTAGAGGCCTTTTTTGCTTTTGTTAATTGTATAATAAATAAAACACTTCGTGAAAATAAAGTTGAACCACTGATGTCACATGGACAATTTTAACGATGTACTTACTATGTTTCTGGGTCTTGAATGTTTGAGATTCGTTGCTGTCTATGTAGGATCAGAAAGCTCTCGGATTTCATCCAAAATATCTTAATTTGTGTTCCAAAGATAAATGAAGATCTTGTATACGGGTATGGAAAGACATGAGGGTGAGTAATCAATGACAGAATTTTCATTTTTGGGTGAACTATCCCTTTTAAACTTTATTATTATTATCACTTTTTTTGGAAAAAGAACTAAATCTGACTATATCAGACTTCACATGGTTAAGTAAGTATTTGCATTGATTAATTGCTTATGTCAAATATAGCCTGTTACTGACCCCAGTTCTGTAGCCTCCTCCCTGACAACTGTGTCCACTTGGGTTTGGGAGCTCTGTATACCTTACAAAAGAGACACAGGCCAGTGTATAAAGCACTGCTGACATGTTATGTAGGTGCAGATACCGGTAGTAACATTACAGGAAAACCGGGCCATTTAAAAGTCCTACCTGCTGCAACAGATACTCCTCCTCAGCCTCCGTTATAAAATTTGGAACATAATAAAAGGTTGGAGGAGCCTAAATATAAATCATGTAATTAAAAACAATAACCTGCGTCCATTCAAAAATTAAAATGACAAATCTCAAAACTTACCTCCTTCACAATGTACTTTTCCAGGTCAGTAGAAATGTTACATGGATTTGCCATCGTTGTCATTATGTCAATATTTAACCATCACAGATTTATTGGCAATGCAAGAAACTGACTGTCATGACACTCGCGAGTCTCTAAGCAAGCATTCTATGTCTAAAACTTAATTTAAAAAGTCATATTTACAGTAGCATCTATGTTTCAAATCACTGAATTGTTGCTGAATGAGCAGGATTGTTCCTTGATGTGTTGTTTCCTCGTGTACTCTAGTGACACGTGTGACTCAACGTCGCCGTCTACAGGTTTGGAGAGGAAGTGCACATTTACAGAGGGCGATGTGACCATTGAAATGAATCGTCAGGAATGTACGCATGTAGCATAATTTGGATCAACAGCAGACCATGATGTGCAGGGAGTACACGAACGCCTCCAAAAGACTGGAGACAAAAATGACTTATTTACCAAATCAAATACATTTATTTATAATATTAGATGTTTTGCTTGTAAGTGAAGTCGTAAAAGGATCATAAAATAGGTTACCAACGTTTGTGGTTCTAGCTATAGGGGCTACCTTTCTCCCCTGTTCCATCTGAAATACCCCCTCCTTCTCTATCTCTTTTTTTCTCTCTTTCCTGTCTTTCTCCTCCAACTCCCAATTTGAGCCTGCAGCGCTGCAGCTCTGGTTTCCATGGCAACGCAGAGCAAGAGCCACATCTTGAATCAGCCATGGTTTCCTTCATTAATAGTTATTGATCAAGTGTGATAATGCTAACAACATCAACTCAGGAGCACAGTGCAGGACTGCATATGCCTATCGCTCTTGACCACTGGAAGCAGAGAAAGAAACAGCCCAGCATGTAAATGTTGACACTGGCCACTGCAGTGTGTGTTGCATAAACTGAGCAAGACCAACAACTGTGAAGCACAACATACAAATGTGAAGCATAATAAACAACATACACTTTTTAAACGTATATTTCATGTATACTCCTGCAAAAACACAGTGATTTGATGTTTTAACTGATGGGGTTGCCAGATATGCTGCTCAGCGCTTCATGCATCATTAGAAATGCTAACAACTCTTCTGATGCTATGAATCATTCTGACAAAGCAGCTAGAGTGAGTGTTGTAATATGTATTTACCTGGTTGTAGTGTTGCGGTTTTTGGGGAGTTTGGGTTGCCAAGGTTACGCAGAAATAGTGATGAAATCGTGACAGGAATACGCCTGTGTTCTGACAATTTATTCAAAGCCATGCTCCACACAAACTTGTCGCCTTGACAACATGATTTAATGATGAGATCCTCCCCTACAACTATCTTTGAAAACCAGACACCTCTATAGGAGAAAGCAGCAAACAGTAATCTCACAGATTACTTCAGTACATCCTTCTCCTATGATTAGACGAGACACTGTTCTGCCATTTCAAAAGGGGAAGGCTTGTATTGCGCACAAACGGTCGACATTCATGCAATTCTGATGACCTTGAATGCCGATGAAGGTGACACAGCATCACATTTGTAACTAAAAATCACATTTACAGCTAAACAGTCGAGAGGAAACTGGAGTGCACATGGCACCATTGTGTAATGTTCTTATTATTTATTATCTGTTATTATTGAGGTCTTATGCACTGTGCTTTACATGTTTAACTGGTGTTGCATAAATAATCACACTTGATATCCTAATGCGACTAATGAAGTAGTGACGTGAAATAGTGACATGTTCAGTATTGCCTTAAAGTTTTGTACTGCTGTACTACTGTTTTGTAATCATGTCTTATCTATATATATGCAGTACTGCCAATATACTGGACCCTCTGTGTAAGCATATAAAATGTAGGACAGTAGTGTGAATTTAAAAGCTGCTACAATGCAGACAGCACACTGAATGAAGGCGAGAATACGAGGGCATGGAA